CTTACAGTTATAAAACAAAGTAATTGAAACTTATTTATTTGAAGAAATGTAAATGAAAATTGTTACTTAGAATTATGTTTTATTAACAATTGTTTATTTTTAAATGCAAATTTAGAACTTTTCTTCAGGAAAATTTGCGAATTTGCTTCAATAAAATGTATAAAATTAATAATAATTTAATTGAGATAATTTATAGTTATGTAATTGAAGAAAATAATGTATTTGGATAAATGTAAATACAAATTGTTATTTATAAATAATTAGTAGGAAATAAATACTTGTTGTTTGATTTTATTGAATTATACGTAAACACAAGTGGAGTAGCTTAATTTCTATTAATTAATTGCTATTAGTTTTGCATTAGCTAAATTAGACGTAGTAAAAGTATTATGAAGTCATCCGAAGAGACCTGGCGGCGAATTAAATGTACAAACAACACACGGAGAGTGGAAAAGCGAATTAGCGATTTTGCGGTTTCGCGCATAAACACAGAGCAAGAAAACGAAACTCAAGAGCGAATTCTATTGCATTCGACCGACCGTTTGATTTAAGCGCGCATTCCGTTGAATATTTATGAGTAGAGCCTCTCCTCCACAGGAATACAAACAAACAAAAAAAAAATGAAATGAATACTGCATTGCTTTGCATCACATAATCCGTCCGTTTATTATCGATGTTCCAACGCATCTATGACTATGAAGCTGTTACCAACCATCAACGATAGAAAAATGAGGTACAGAAAGAAGAAAAGCATGATGATCACGAAGCCGGGCAGCAGACGAAGCAGAAGACCGATCAGATCCATCTGAAACAGGAAACAAGATCGTTTCAAACACTTACTAACTAAACTATGTTGCTTGCTTCATCAGTTGGAATGATCTCGGACACAGCTGCTGTTTCGGAAGACATCCATTGTCTCACCTTCCATTTACTCTTTCTTTCTTTCTCCCAACTTCGCTTCACTTTTCATCCGAACCGTTTTCGTTTACCTTATACAGCGTCGAAATTTATGGTCGGCCCCGAGCTGCTTCCATGTTTACAATTTCCCCATTCCATTTTCCATTCGAGGCTCTGCAAGAAAGAGCTCAGCCGATCACCAACGATACGATCCAATTCCGGATCAATGTCAACGTGAACTAATCACAAACCAATTGTCTGTCAATATCTATTTGTATTGTTTTTTTTTTAAATGTCAACGTTATCGAATTGATATTTCTGCAACAATTTGATATATTTTAATACTATAAAAGTACAACTAAATTCTTGTTAACTAGGTACAGCAATACCTCGCATAGTGCGTGTCAATATCCCTGGACTAATTGTGGAACTACACAGAGAGAAGTGTATTTTTGTCTTGCCAACAGTCATGGACAATGAAATTTTTAAAACGGACTTTAGTAAATCCGGACTAATCGGAGCCGTACTATGCGAAGAATTGCTATATTTATATACAAATATACACAATCAAAATTTCTCATGTAAATACGGATTAAATTATAATATATTAGGTTTGAATAAATAGAAATTTAACAACAAGCGCTTACTAATTTATTAGTAAACTATTGTTAAAAATGTATACAGGAATACCTGTATGTATATAGTGCGAGTCAATATACCGCACTGTTTGAAACCGATCTAATCGTAGAACTACATAAAAAGAAACTTGGTTGTACAATGACTTTTATAAACCGGACTATAGTAAATCCATACTAATCGAAGCAGTACACAAACACACTTTGATATATTTTATTACAATAAAAGTTCAAACTCTTCTAATTTCGTGATATTTGGGTACAAGTAGAAACATGTAAATGAAATGCGCATTAAAGTATAAAATATTAGGTTTAATAAATAGAAATTGAACAAATATGTAAGAAGAAATTTGTGTGTAAAATGAAATTTTTAAATCCGGACTAATCGAAGCAGTCGAGGTTTTGCTTTATTTATATATAAGTATACACAATCAAGTCTATATTTATTCTATTTACAATATTTCTTGCAATATAATATAGTTTTTTTTTCTTATATATTAATATAACATAAAAGTATGTCTTTGAAAATGATTCATAACATTCTATCTTCTTGGTTTTAGTATGATTTATGGAATGTTCATTCACCAATATAAATGACAAATTGTTTTATTATTTTTTAAATGATATTTTGTTATCAGTAATTCCTCATAATTTAATGATGAATATGAATTACTAATTTTACTCTTTTTGTTAAAATATTCTATGATTAATAAAAAAATATATGTTTTTAATTAAATATGTTAAACATCAATTGAAACTCATTCATTATGAGAAATATAAATGAAAATGTTTCATTTCTACTAAATAAATTCTTCTTTGATTGCATTAAGGAACTTAAATGTATGTAGATCAGGGTTTCCCAAACTATGTTCCGTGGATCACTGATGAAATCCTGGAATGAAATAATTACTATATAAATAATCAATGTTTTTTTCTTACTGTTTTTGTATTATGTGTTATTGCTTATCCTACAAAAATAAACAAGGTGTTCCGTGATTTACGAAGTGTTCCGTTGCAGGAAAAGTTTGGGAAACTCTTTTGTAGGCAATAGTAATGTGTTTTTTTTAATATTTTGAAACTTTTCTTCTACAAAATGAATAGAAATCATTATTACTTCTATATTTACTTAATTTATTGATGATTACCATGACTACCTATATTTGTATAAAATTTACTTAAAGTTTAGTTATTTGAATTAATTTTATATCAACGTTTTCAATTTTTTTCTCGCACAACAAAACATATTTATTTGTAATTGTACTGCGACCCAATTGCTAGGAGTATTTCGCAAGTTCCTTGTGACAGCTGTCACCTTGTGTCATTTTACCCTGACTGCTGTCATTTTACGATCAATTAAAAATTTAACACTTAAATAAAGATTTAAGTATTGTCGTTAAAAAAAGTTATTAGTAAAAAAAAAGGTAATGATTTTTTTTTATTAATTAAACGATTTCATTAACCAAGAAATTTATGTAAATTACAATAGTTCTTTTGTATTTACACTATTGTAGTTTTAAAATCATATTGTTTTGAATCTTTAAAAAAAAAAATATTTTTCCGAAACCGAACATTCTTTCCCCGATAATAATAAAGAAAATAAACCGCATCTCTTAAAGCAAAACAAACATTAAATAATTACTAAAAATAGACGTTCTCTGCGTACGCTCAGAAACGTGATACCAAATGGTAACTATGTAACGTACTCGCATTAAGAAAAATCCTTCATTAAATCTTCGCATTATATATATATATTTAATCCTCTTTTCACAAATCTCCAGTAATAACAAAAAGTTGCATATTTTCCTGCTCCGTCGGAATGTTGTTTGTTCAATAAATCATTTGTTTTTATTCAACAAACGTGTAACATTCTTTAATAAACACTCGATTCCAGAACGAATACATTCCAGTTCCATCGAATCCAATTTGTTCCGAATTTATATAATATAAATTCCCTACAATTTGAAACTCTCATTAATAATAATTATTATGATTCGATTAATTTGCATGGAAATTCAATTTCAATTGTGGATCAATTTAATTAATATTTAATTTCAATTCCATTTTATTATTGAATACGCTTTCAATTTATTCGATTTATCAATGAAATCTGATTGAGTTTTCTAAATTTAATACCATTTATTTATTAATCTATTTTATTGGAATTAATTGTCATTTTTTCTCTAACACTTATAATGGAATTTCGCAATTAGTCACAGATTTTATTTAAATGTAGCTTCAATTTATTTGGAAATTGATTTTAAATATAGTTATTGCATTAGATTGAGTTCATTTCTAGAAATAAATTATTGTATTGAAGTAAAAATATTTGTTTACTTTACATAATTTTCCGCAACTTTGGCGCCATGTCTGTAAGTGATATCATTAACAAATTGTTATTTAATCATAATAACAAGATTAAATGCAATAAAATACAATATAACAAATAAGAATATGCATAAAAATCACATTTTTTTTACTAATTTCTCTTTTGGTTCTCTTGAATGCAAAGCATATTTTTTTATGAGATTCGAACAATTCTCCTTCATATCGAATATCGTAATACAGACGACGATTCATAATACGTATTCGAATAGTAATGTAATTTTGCCAATTAGCGACATCTGTGATTCAAATTCAGCAACATACTTTTTGTTACATCCACACTATGAACACAATTAAGAACACTATTGCAAATGTGCTAAAGCTAATTTAAGCTGTGAGGTGTAAAAGAAGCATACACACTGTGTGTAGTATGAGACATAAATATCTGTCAGGTGTACCAATTTCTATTGATCATTTGTAATTCCTAAGATACTAAAACTAAACTAGCATTTGTTCATATTCCTGATAGCTTCACTATAATCTCAAAACAAAAAGTAGTACACAAAATTATTTTTATACAAAAATTATCGTTTTTTTTATACAATCAAATCTCTTTTTGTGCGCTTTTAAAGTCCTCGATTAGTCCGGTTTTAAACAGATTGATATTTCTTTACCAGATTAATTTCATGAACAAATTAAATTAATATTTGGCGCAGAATAGAAATGATTCGGTTCGAAATTATTGTTGGCTAGAAAGTTGCAACTTATTGATTTCTTTTCCGTTTCTTTTCGTCGTACGTTCTTATTAGTTTTTTTTACCTGCTGCTGTTGTTGTCGGATGTATATCTTCCCCCGCACCGACCGTTGTTTGAATCGGAACGTGCGAATCCGAATGCGGTTTTCCTCACCTGCAGAACTTAACGAGCTACAACACCGTCTCCATTATTATTATTATTACTACTATTCATTGTTGCAATGTGGAACGCGATTGGATTATTGAAAGTGCGAAAAGAAATAATGGTTATCGCCTTCTGATGTGGGGATTTAACAATTAAAAACAAATTAAAAAAAAAAGAAAGACTTTCGCCAATTTGCATACATCTACGTTACTTCTTTTTGTTTTCTATTTCATTTGTTTGTAGATTTCCTCTTCGTCTGTGCAACTGAGAGGCGTTCTGTAACGTGCGGAAGTGATCTGAGGGAGGGAGAAGAGCTATGAGGGGTGGTTGTCTTGAGTGCAATTGAGGTGTCCTTGTTGTTTGTTCTTCGTTCGTTCGTTCTTTGCCAAACGGAAGGACTAAATGGCCGCCACGGCTCGAAGGAGAGATCAGGACGAGGATATCGCTGACATCTACAATGAAATTTTCGATCAGGCCGAGGCGATCTATCAGAATTGGATGAGCCGTGGCCTCTCACCAGCAGACCTGATCACATGCCATGCAGCCGGCGATACCTCGAAATTAGGGTAAAATTTACAATTTATATTACACTTCCGCTATTACGTATTCAATGCCAGCCCAAAGCCAGTGCCATCATCATAAACACACTAAGTTACCACACTGCTGTCGCTGATGCCTACATTCATTACTATATGTTGTACTATTTCAACATCGAATTTTCATTTTCAGAAGATCAACAGTTTATAGTTAAGATATTAATCCTTCATGTTTAAATAACAGCATTTAGATATAGTTATTATACAAAAAAAAACTCAGAACTACAAATATCTAAGCAGATAGTTAAAATGTTTAATAGAAATCAAGTTTAATTATACATAGTTTCACCAATTTATTTGACATCCAACGGATTCACGTCTTTTAAATAATGTAACTGATCCTTCATGATTATTTAAACATTCATTTAATATTTCGTCACTTGTCAATGTTGTGACATTTATGACTAATAAATGAAGCTTATTTATACAATATTCCATTATGTCATTTGCTTTTATGTAGTTTAACAACGTATAACATTATAGGAACGAATACAAATAACGACTTTTTAAATAAATTGGTTTTAGAATGTCAACTTTTATACGAAAATGGTGATTTGTTAATTTCAAAGTTTAGATTTCTTTCGTTTAATTTTATTATATAAACTATAAACTTTACAAATGCACATCCATCATCTAGCACAACTTTTTAATATATTAAAGTAGTAGTTCTCAACATTGTTTAAAAAGCCACGTAACAGAAACATGAAGTTGACATAAGTGACACACTTTCATGTAATGAAGCACACTTCTTGAGAAGAGACAGAAATAGTAAAAAATATTAATAAAAGAAGCTTATGTATTTCATTTCTGAAAGCAGAGATAAACATGTCATTGAAATATTTCATATTTAAAAGTAAAACAATAGATTTCGTTCAAATATTTGTGTGCTAGTCCATTTCTAAAAGATCTTCAACGTTTCCTTCAAGAAGATAGTTTAATTCGATTCCAATTTGTTAATTATAGTAGATTAGATTCAAAGTAGATAATTTTATATATATTCAGTGTGCTTAGGTTTGTCCAGTTTAGAATTTTCTTTATACAATCTAGGAGCCTCATGTGTCTCATTTCTAAAACGTCTTCTTAAGTGAATACTTCAATGTTTCCTTCAAGAAGATAGTTTAACTCAATTCCAATTTATTGACTGTAGTAGATTATATACAAAATTGATAATTCTATATATTTTCAGTGTGCTTAGGTTAGTACAGTTTAGAATTTTCTTTATATAATCTAGGAGCTTCTTTTCATGATAAATTACAGCTCCCATTTTATACAGCGAAAATTGATGTTACTAGGAAACATAACATGCGGCTCTTTGGACTTTATTTTAACAGACAATATATTTACTCTAAAAAGGTTGCCGACCTCTAGTCTACTTACTAACTAATATTATTATTTAATAGTCGTAAATAATGAACGAATATACCTACGAATAACAAAAGATACATAGCTTTTAACGGTACATAAATCAGCGAAGTCTCGAAACATAGGAACACCCCAGAGTCCAATAGGCAAGCACAACGTTGATAAACTCTATCCTGCACTTAGAAATACCTTTCCGTCCGACAGAAATAATCTAACTTTAAACCATTGGGGAAATTTTTCCGCTCGTTTTTCGCCACCCCAGGAGACGCATAAATTATTGCATCGGTCATGCATTCTAAATTCGTTTCTAAGCAAACTCAACTGAAGTGCATATTGTACTCGTTTTTTTGTTCCATTAATAGAATTTGTAACTAATTGATTCGAGGAATGTGAAATGCTGCTATTTTCAGTATTTTTTTTTATTGCACACACTTAATTATTGTCTCATTATTGCATTCCACGTGAAATTATATTTCTACCGGTATATTTCAATCCAATCTTATTGATTCCAGCCATTAAAGATCACCATAAACTCTTGCATATGTATCATTAATTATTATGCATTCCTTTTAATTGCCGTATAGTTACTTCTATTATGTATTTCATTCCTTATAAGTCACACAGTTATTGGAATTTTTCTTCTTGATAGTTTCAGAACAAAATTAATCAAATATCAACAATTTTAGTCTGCATTTGATTCCTCAAAAATCATATATTTGTTAGATTTTTTCAATTTTTTATTGATTGTTTTAACATGAAAAAAGTATTAATTACCTTCAATAATTTAGTGCAATATTAATGAATTATCTTTGACTTTATTTTTTATTTCATTTCTCATATATTTATAAGAATTTATCTTTTTGTTATAAACCAGCAGTTCTCAACCTTTGAATTTAATTTTTTAATGAATCGAGAAATGACATTTTGCGGTAAAACGTCAAAAAAATGTTATAAACAATTGAGTCGCAGTATAATTATAACTGCGTTTATAGACGATTTTGACATTGAAATTATGTATTTTTTAAGTTATTGTTAGTACAAGAATCAACTATAATTTTAGTATAGTTTGAAAAGGGATAAACGTAAAAATAAAATGTAATTTTAAATAATATTTTTAGTAAATAATTGAATGAATTAACTATAATTTCAGTATAATGTAAATAAGAGGCAATTTCCTAGAGTAGTGTTCGATATCCTCTGAAATATTCGTGCGTGCATGCAGAAGCAGCATTGGCCTAAATTGCGTTAATTGAAGCCATTTCTAAGCTATTCCGGCTTGTGCATCGAAAACATCACTCATTCAGCACATATATCTTGCATCTACGATTGCATATCCAATCATTTTCCTGTTCTAGTTTAGCTATTATCATCACCCTCGCGTTCCTCTTGAATCGATTTAATCGTATCAAACTATATTGGTTTTTCGATAAATGCATACTGATCCATTTCCTGTTTATGTCATTTCCACACAGCCTTGATTCGACGTTGAATGTTAAGAAATCTTTTTAATAATCGTTGGCGCCGCTTTCTTCAATCCTCCATCGGATGTTAATTTTGTATGCATATTATTCAAATACACCTTTGATCTGAATTCATTTGTAAATTAAAAAAAAAATGTGAATTCAGACGATTGGGGAATGTATAATAATCTCAACCGTGACTAAGACCACTGTTCTTTTGTTTCCTTCGAAACATTTCTTTCCATTAAACACAAAAAAACGTATTCTTTTTTTCCTCGTTCGCTCGTTTAATTGACGGAAGTCCATTGTATGCTTCTTTGGTATATAATTGTTGATTAACAAGAGATTGCGGTTTGTTTTAAATAGAAATAAGGGTATATCGCAATGGCATCTTAATATTTATTTAATTGATGCGTGTTTTTTATATGCAATTTACATTTATTTTACTGCAAAAATCACATTTTTATACACTTATTATTAACAATCATAATATTTATTATCATTTTTACATAATATTTATTGTAATGGTCAGAAGATTAATATTTTAGTTGTTAGTTTGATATTTTTTTTTATAAATTTGGTAATGATAATGTAATAAATTTGTTGGCAAACTTGTACAATCAATTAAAATCAAGTGTTGCTTGGTAGTCATGGTTACTGTTTACTTGACATAGAAGTTACTTAAGTTACTTGGAAATACATCAACAATATATAAAGGTTATTTATTATAAAAGTCCTTTTATGCATTTTCATCATTAAATATAAGAGATTTGTAAAATCAATAACTTATTTGTTATTCAAATCGTCGTCGTCTTTCTACTCAATTAAAAAATCTTTGAATATTTCTTAAATCGAAAATTCTAAAAACTATGTTTATAATTCTATTATTAAATGTATATATTTCATTTCGGCACATAAAATATGGATACATTTGTATTATTTGTATATATAATTTCGTTTAAATCGCTGAAAGACAAATTATGTTATGAATATTTTGCGTACTCGTAAAAATGTTGGCAGAGATAATAAAAACTTTGGAATCTCTTTTTGTCGTAACTTTTAAATAAATACTAATAACATTTGTTTATCATAAAATTTATAATTATCATAAAATTATATAATTATAAACAATAACATATAAAAATCGCATGATACAAGCTCTCATCATCATTAATTATGTCTGTATGTTTGAAATATAGAATTTGATGTATTTCTTTTTCTTTATTTAGATCGATGTTGAAGCCACAGCCACCGGCGAAGCCGTCAATTGAGCTTCTGGCTCAGGCGCCGTCGATGGACAATAACCATTTGAACAAGTTGGTAAAGAACTTCGTTGATGAGGATAAGGCGAGGAACGCGGCTAGAAACATGCCTTCGAGCATCCAGTTTGCCCTTCAGAAATTCGAGAAGAATTCTCAGGCGGAGAATGCGGGGCCCTTCAAGCGCGCCCCTCTGAAGGTGGGACAACCCGCCTCGAACGGTCATCAACAGCAGCAGCAGCAGCAGAAGAGTACAAACTTGCAGGTACGGTACGAATTGGAGGTTGTCTTGAACGATTGCCAATCCCTTCGCATTAGCTATTTCTGTTCGCGGCTAATTTGGGTTATAGATATAATCCCGTCGCCGGGATGGGTATTTTCGTATGCGAACTTTTAATTAGAATAGAATCGCTCAACGCCCGATATCGACATCGATTTATCTTCGTTACTTGGACGATTACACCTTGCAGCAGTTTTAATCTTTTTTTATTTTCGATGCTTGCCCGCTCGCTTCGATCTCTTTCAGTTTTTTGGGACCCGGCGCACGTCGTAATGGGTTATTGGCGTGCGAAAATGCTTGTTCGTGATTGATGGGATTACCAATTAACCTAATTCGCTTGTTGTTCTAAGGTGAAACCGGCGATCGGACAGAAGCCCCAAATTTCCCCGAAGCCTCGATTAGCTGATACCATCGAGATGACCTTACCGGCGGAAAGGTCGCCTCTGCAGACCTGGCCTCTGAAGAACCGCGTGATATCCACGGAGAACGTGAAAAAGACTGTTTCCGGTGGTTCGGCCTCGACCAAACCCTCGATCAACGCGTACCTCGAGGAGGTTGCTGTCGAGGAGAAGAAACTTCTGGCCGCTCTGAAGAATGGAGACGTTCTGAACGAGGACGGCGCCAAAACTGAGGTCACCACCAAATGGGGTCTGAGGAATGCAAGAAGACCTGAACAGCAGGTGCCGCATCCAGAACTGACCACCACGCAGAGGCAGCATCTGCGGCAGACGGCCGTCAATCCTGTTCGGCCCTTCCTGACCAGAGGATCCGTTGCTGAGCGTGTCCTCATCTTCGAGAGATGTCCCAGCGATCTCCTGCTGGACAAGAGAGCGAGGGCGCCCACCGTGCAGCTTCCAAAACCGCAGGTAAACCTCGCGCGCCGTCGGAAAAGAGACCTTGTCGCGTGTTATGTAATCGAGAGCGCGAACGCGACTTGCGTTTGTTTGTTCTCTCCGCAACTGACGTCATGGTTTAAATTAGCCGCCCACGATTGCAGCAGTTCGTAAATCTCTTTTAAACAAATTCAGGACGCATTGTATTATTTACTTAGGAAACTCCTCCACATTTGGCGCATTCAAAAACGTGCCCCCACAAAATACGAACATCGTCCTTATCACATATTAACAATCATTATGATTAATAACTATCTATCTATTAACTACCATATTAATTTAATGACCTCATTTTTCAAAGCCATTTAATTTAAATTCTAATTAAGATATGGTAATTTTTCGTTGGCTTATTTTATTTACAATCCGTTCCGTTCCAACATTAAGTTAATTTGATCGCAATTCAAATAAAATTCTACATCTGAAAAGTAGCTTTACGAAAGTGTTCTAAGATAATAATTTTAATAAATATTCCTTTTAAAGGATGCTTTAAATCCAGATTAGTTTCATTATTATCTAATATTAATAATTTGGTAAACCTCATATTTTACTGTTAATTTGATCTATTCCTAAGTATTTCACTTTCATTGACTTTCATAAGTTAATAAGTCTTATTGTCGTTTTATCAATTTAATTCTTCTATAATAATCACAAACTATCTATATTAATCTATGCAATTAAAAATATCCTAATTAACTAATGATTTTGAAAAACATATTATTAATTCCAATGGATATTTGCTGTTTGCAAAATTTTGATTCTATATAATTTGTACATTGTACAAATTTTGATTAAATTAGTTGATTAATATTGTCAACTTTATTACCATTTATGGGTAAATGTTGTATTTAATATAAACTTCTGGTCATCAATTAATATTAAATCTAATTAATAATGCGTCTATATCTTTAGGTATACAAAATAATAAGCATTTTTCCTCTTCATTTGTGTTCAGAAACGACACCTCCGAGTCCTGTTATTTGTACGTTTCCGTTCGGTCTTCATTTACGTGAGAGTATTTGATGACTCGACGGTCTCAGATTTCTCGGACGAGTTCAAAGAGTCTCTATCGAAATGCTTTCACGTCTCTTTTACTTTAAAATTTAAAAAAAATATTCCATAAAGCAACGGAAATAGAAGAATTATTTATAGTATTACTGAATAGATACTTTTATTGAAATATTTCTTCAAGAATGAAATAAATACATTTTTGTAACATTATGTTTTGTATTATGTGTAGCAACTCCTCAAGCAACAAACTCTTCCACATACAACGCTGCAGCGACACGTGAGGGCCAACAGGAACGTGCACATCCCGAGATTCCATTTCCCAATGGGTAAACCGACGACGCCCGGAACTTTGGAGACCATCCGACAAAGGATTACTAATGCCTTTGCAACGATCGGAGACAGGGCTTTGCGAGAACACTTCGCTGCCTTGACTACAGCCTGCCAACTGCCTCTTTACTGGAAGACCCCATTGTACCTCGCCGCTTGCGCCGACAAAGACAGTTGCACCCTCGAGCAGTTCAACAGCTTCTGGACTACGTGAGTACTTTACCTCGACTACGGAAACGATTCTTGAGACGCTGAAATTTGCATATTCCACAGAATGGCGAGCACATGTCACGATGCCGCCTCCAGGTTCATCCACATCCTGACGCGCGGTAAAAAGAATTGGCTGAGTCCCGAAGACTTCATACCTTTGGTCCAGGACGTGGTGGAAACGCATCCCGGTTTGACCTTCCTCAAGGAAGCCACCGAGTTCCATTCGCGCTACGTGCACACGGTCATCGCCAGGATCTTCTACTGCGTGAACCGTTCCTGGAGCGGACGCATCTCCATCCCCGAGATGCGACGATCCAATCTCCTCAACGTCATCCAGATTCTTGAGGAGGAGGAGGACATCAATCAGGTCACCCAGTACTTCAGCTACGAGCACTTCTACGTCATCTATTGCAAATTCTGGGAGCTGGACAGAGACCACGATCTGTTCATCGACAAGCAGGACATGACCAGACACAATGACCACGGTAGATCCAGCTCGATTCGAATACCTTCACGCTTCATAACCCAGTTTTTACTTGCATAGCTTTATCGAAGAGAATCATCGACCGGATATTCAGCGGGTGCGTCACGCGCGGACAAAGGAAATCACAGCACGACGAGAAGCTCTCCTACTGCGAATTCGTGTGGTTCCTCCTGAGCGAAGAGGACAAGAGACATCCCACCGCCATCGAATATTGGTTCCGGTGCATGGATCTTGATGGAGACGGATACATTTCCATGTACGAATTGGAATATTTCTACGAGGAGCAGATGCATCGCATGGAATTGATCGGAATTGAAACTCTGCCATTCGAGGTAACAAACGCAAAATTGCAATATTTTTATATTCATTTCCTTTTCTTTATTTCTAATATACTTCAGGATTGCCTGTGCCAAATGTTGGACATGGTGAAGCCCGCGGTCGATGGTAAAATAACTCTGAGCGATCTGAAGAAGTGCAAGATGACACCGATCTTCTTCGACACGTTCTTTAATTTAGAGAAGTACCTGGACCACGAACAAAGAGATCCGTTCGCTTCACAGCGCGATCACGACATCGACGGCCAAGAGGTTCGTACCCATTCCTCGCTAAATCCCATCCCTTATTCAATTCATCTGCAATAATACCGTTTCTCTTAAGTGCATTGCACAAATCCCTTCGAGGGAATCCGAAGTAAGTTCAGATTTAATAAACTAAGCTCTACAGAGTAAATTCAATAAACACAATGTACACTTTTTTTTCTAGTCAGGAATTTATTTATTTTTTCTTTAGACTATATACAACAGAGTGGTTAGCAAACTTCTATTAATTGATTGTAAAGTATTGTATTATATATTTCTTCTTTTTTTTACTTAACATCATACAAAAACATAAAGTACCCGAAATGTTTGCGAACCGCTGAATTAGCAGAGCTTTAGTCATTTTAGCTTAAGCATTTTTTCTTATAGATTTAGATGCTTATAGCCTCGACTATCAATTGTATCAAGTGTTAATTTACAACTATTCTTGATTGCGAAATGATCTTTCTTTTAGTTATCGGATTGGGATCGTTATGCGGCCGAAGAATACGAACTTTTGGTTGCGGAGGAAGGAGGCACCGACGATCCGAACAGCCTGTAAGTATCAAACAACATTTCATCGCTATCCTCAATACATTATTCACTACTCGTAATCACATCTGTTTCTCTTTATCATCGCATTTCAATATTTTTTTTTACTCGTTGGTGATTGATCCAAATTTATAATAAAATATTTTGAAAAACGCAAATATAATATTATATATATAATATTTTATTATTGATTTGTGAAAATTCTTGTTGTTATTTAATATATATTATATATTGCTTGTGTTTAGGGAATACGATTGTGGGTTTGATAGGGTAAGAGAACCTGGTGACGATTTCTTTTGGCCACGTTTTTGTATTAACCATAAAAAAAGAGGCTTCTTACTATTAACGCCACAATTAATGATTTAATCGATACTAACGCAGTCTGATTGAGTATCAAATCCTATTTTTATTAATACACAAAATTTTATTTAAAAAATCGTAAAATTTTGTTTTTCAGATTAAGTTTTCACTTTAAATACAAACCATTAACTTAAAATACTAATTTAATAAACAACAGCATTTAATATGAACATATTGAATATTCTATAATATTCGATGTTTGAATAATACAAATACATGAGTGTACAAAAAAATGCTTTTAAGCAGACTGCTTATTCTTCTGATTAAGCATGATTGATATACTAACTTGTTGATAATAATTAACTTTCAAATATACATTTTGCGAGGATGTACACTTGAGCTTTTTCCTTTCTTTCTACACTCGATGTTTACCTAATTTCTGTACTCTTGTATTTGTAGCTCGTTCGATGAGGGAAACAACGAGGAGGACCCTCTGTCCCCGAGTCTGGACGTGGTGCTGGACTTGGACGCACAATGTGGCCTTTCTGACGAGAGCGACGAATGCAGTATTTAGCAATCGCGTGATTCATTTTCGTGAAATTATATTTTGTGTGATGATTGGCATTAGGAAGGAATCGTTATTATTTATTTGTAGTTGATGGACTAATTCGAGGAATCCTCGACGATAGGTGGATATTTTCCAGGGAGGGATTGTATTTAAAAGAAACGAAAAGAAGAGAGAGAGAAAAAAAAACAGTACAACTTTTATACTTGATTAGATGTTTACGTGTTGTAAAGTATTCGGAATCTCAGCCCTAGCTAGAACAAGTAATCGAACGAGTGTGATGTGTGGTAGAATATTGTTTTTTTTATATATATATAATTAATTAATTATTTATTTTATCTTCTAGTCTCTAATCTCGAAAGTACTCAATATCTTTTGTTTCTGACAAACGTATTTTTTTTATATATCTTAAGTATTTAGTATTTGTTACTGCTGCATACTAAATAAAAAGTGACATATCCATGATATGCCCAAGTTCATTAACGTTTTTTGTTAACTTATAACTAAAAAAACATGTTTAATTATTGACAAGTAAAATAATATATTATACTGATTTATTTGTATTATTAGTGAAATATTTAATATTTATCATAATTATTTTACTGTTAAAATAATTGTTTTCTTTTATATTATTATTATTATGGTTATTATAGTAATATTATATAATACTACGCTTTTTTTTTTCTATTTAACTTATAAACAAAAAATATTATTATTATGTTGTATATAAATATATTATATAATTTGAATCGTGTTAGGTCATTATATATATATAATTATCCAATCATAGACTTCGGTTAAGTAATATTAACGATCGCCATTGAGATTTGAGCATACTTAAAAGCACCTTTACTTACATCATTTATATCATAGCAACGACTAAATACGCACAAATTATTTCATACGTTACCATGGTTACTCCCATCATATATAGGTGTGCTCTCATTTTGATAGTATTATTATTTATCTTTCTGTTCTGTTGGTTTTGTTCTATGATTCGGACAACATTTTTTTTCTTATGCTACTACTATATTATTATTATTAAATATATTATAGGTGTTAAATTTATCATCATTGCAACCAATCTCTTTCTTTTTTTTTTATTTTGGTTATATCTATGATGCAATTTAGTATACTTTGTTAAAATTTATATAGTATAGTTTATTAACGTTTTTAATTTGATCGTGTATCGAGTTACTAGTCATTTACATTATTATTATTATTGAATACCTATTATATTAAACAAAAAAGAAATTGTGTAACATTGTATAAAGTTGTTTATTATGTAGATTGAAATACATTAATGGTTTTCTCTATAAATATTGATGAAGCACTCAACTTCCCACAAGAAAATACTTCCATCCAAAACTCATGGCTCTTCTTAATTTCTTCTAAGTGTATATACTCATTCTTGGTGATATTATTACAAAACAAAAGAATACTTAGTAATATCTTAAGAACACAAGTGTTCTTAAAAAATAAAGTTTTTACAACGTAAATTGATATACAAAAAGGTAAGTTTAAGTTCTTTATATTATATTTCTTCTAACCTTAGTTTCGTACTCATCTAAGTTTTTAGTATATTTTCTAATTGTTCTAATTATTGAAAACCTTGCATTATTTGTTTGTTAATGTAATAAGTTGAGAGGTTACGTAATTTAGTAGAAATGAGTATTTTTTTAGATAGCCTTTATTAATTATTAGTAGGATAACATTGGTACAATAAATCATCAAAAAATATTTCACTTTATTGATTACAATTTCAACAAATAATGGTTTGCTGTAAATATATATATTTATATATAATATAATATATATTAGATGTATAAAGATACATCTAAATCTGCCATCTTCAATAAGTATAAAACAACTAACAACCTATTTATCCCACAAACCTAGTTCCTTCATCTTCGTTTGAAAGTACTGCTGCAGATGTACGGCGCACTGGTAGTATTCCGTTTCAGGCGAGTTGTAAATCTTGCAGTTAGTGAAAATTCTCATCATGTCTGCAACGAACAGTCGCCTGGACACGTAATATCTGGCTTTCAATCTTTCGGTCATCGTTTTCAAGTCTATAAGAAAATAAAACAACATGATAAAATTTGTTTTTTTTTTTCAAATCGATTTTTGTCTCTTACCCATGGGATATTTTATGTGGTCGTAATAGTCAGGCACTACATTCTTATCGACGGGTGATTTGAAAGGCCAAGCGGCTTCGTGGTTCTTCACGGCTTGCAAAACCCCCTTTAACATCACAGCCAACGTATCTACATCTTGAGATTCCTCCAGTTGTTGCCCGCCTCTAGTAGCTCTAGCAGCAGGACGCCATCCTGTTTCCTGGATTCCAGGAATTGATTCTATTGGTATATTCCTTACACCTAAAATTTAATATTCAATGAGAAATTGCAATTTCAATTAACATTCGTTAAACTACCTTCTTTGAAAAATGTCAATCCTTGATGAACTTTCGAAACTTTCCTCTGTTGTTGATAGATCAAATGCTTGATGATTTTCTTTTGCTTCATGACGATCGACGTGAATTGGGTGTAAATAATTTTCGGATTCAATTCGCAGTGCATCAGGGTAGCACCTTGGTAATCCTTAATGTATCCCTGATAGATGCCTCGCGACAATTTAATTTCTTTCGAGAAGCCCTGCTTCTCGAAATACCCAATAGCAAACTCATCAGCGAATGTCAAAAAGTGATAGATGTTTTTTCCGATGTGGAAGTCCTTCAGATGATTCATCAAATGAGTGCCGTACCCCTTGACCTGTTCATCAGTGGCGACCGCGCAGAAGACGATTTCAGTGAATCCTTGCGTGGGAAACGTCCGGAAGCAAATTGCACCGATCGGTTGGTTGTCTTTAATCAACGCCAAAGTTCGATGTTTCCTATTAACAGTTAGAAATAACTTATTAAGAATATAATTGCTTTAAGTTTTACAACTTACGGATCAAACAGGAACTGCGTGATGTATTCTTTAGGCATCTTGGGCAATTGGTGCGAGATGACGTTCTGCAAGCCTATTAACCAAAGCATAGTTTGCTTCGTAACAGGTTCTGTTAAACTGTTACCTACGACGTGGAACTCTATGATCTTTTTCTTTTCTTCCAATTTTGCCGCTTCGTCTCTTGCTAACGCTTCTTCTGCGAAAACCATCTATAACAAATACATATTAAATAAATCTGCAAGAAGCTCGCAAGTTCCATCTTATTACATCAGGCCCTGTCATATATTTCGGATCGTCGATGGTGGCTATAATCTCAGCAAGATTTTCAGGAGTCAGATCCTCGAATTGGTCCTCCTGTGCTAACCTCCGGCGTTTCTCACGTACAGGTGTTTCTGGCACTTTAGAGGATTTATCCGTAAAGCTATCCTTGTTCCCGCTCGAGGAAAGCTTCTGAGCTTCGCTCATGGACCTCTTCATTGCAGCAGCCGCCGCCGCAGCCTCTGAAAATATACAACATTATTTCTGCAATTTAATTAACTACAAAATTAAACATACTTTTCAATTTGTTCAATTCGATCAAATTCTGCAGGTGAATGGATGGAGGCGGTTTAAAATCCGGATCCCAAATCGGCGAATTCGGAGCATAAATCTCCGTGTCAAGGGCGTTAAGAAAAGCAGGAAAATGCGTTAAAATCATCACTCTACGTTCCAGAGGCATCCGATCTCTCTCTTGGTAAAACTGGTCCATAATTTGTTTACGAATATGTTTGAAGACAGCCTTCAACAGCGTTTTACCGAACACCATGGTAGTATCATAGTGTCTCAACGAATCGCAAAACGCTGGGACGTGACAGAAGACGAACCAACGAGTGTAAGACTCCTCGTACAAGGATGCTTCATCCCTGCTCAGAACGTGTCTTTGGCTACTCGGTAATGGGAAATCCCATGTGTTCAGGCAATGCAGAAAAATCTTAGCCAGTTCGTACATCGTGTTCCATTCCTGCTGGGTCAAATGCGCGAACTTAAACACCACCAAATTAGTAACAGCTTTATAAATTGAAGGCTTCTCAAATGGTGGTTGGCTGAACAAGGTGTCAATCACAGGTGTGTCCAAAGTTAATATACATTTGCGTAACAACTAAAAACAATATAAAATTAGTAAACATCATTGGAATAATAGAATAGTTACTTACGCTAAATAAATAATTATAAACTTTCTTTGTGTCTGGATTCACTTTATTCTTCATTGCAGTATACATATTTTCCACATCAACCACCATCTTCAGCAGTCGATTCAGTTCATGCTCACTTTGATTGCGAAGATGTGATACATGACATTCTATAACACCAACAATTAACATACAAATATAAGTTGAGCAAACAGTTATTACCTAAAGAATGTTCACATCTGCAAGGGTCATTAAAAGAACTTATGGTAATATTCTCAGTTTTCTTCCATCCTGTACAATTGCAGTTTTCAGCCTGAAATATTGCATAATTAAATCACAAACTTCATTTCAAAAACAAAACACTGATATCTGTTTACCTGACATTTAGAGTATATAGCCAATTTGATCAATTTCTTGTTGTAGGGCAAAGCAAGCACTGCTCTCTTCCTCTGCTGTATGATTTCAAGATTGGTCTGGTATGAGGCTTGCTCCGGTTTGTTACCAATGTTATTGTTGTTGCTGGTCTGTGGTTGTGCACTCTGCTGCACCACCTCCGCAGGGCCACTCGCCTGGTCGGACATGGTGAAAATAAATAATTAAAAACAAAATGAAAATAAACGGTCCTCTTCTTTTCGTCAAAATATGTGTAGCTACATCGAAAGAAATTCTACCAAAATGCTACAAAACTTGTTGACATTTTGGTTATGAAAAAAAAAACAAGCAACAGAAATACTTCGACAATCTTCGACTAACTTCGCAACATTGTATAACAATATTATATGAAAATACAATTACATAACAACCAAAATATTTAATTATTCACACAAATAAGCAAATGTAACTTAATAATAAGTATTCTTAAATAATGATAACGAAATTAAATTCCTTCTATTGCCATAGGCAACCAATCAATCATCGTTCTTCGTTATAAATCTCTCCCATTTGCTGGATTTGAAATCAGGCTTATATTTTTTAGTGTTTTCAGCCTCTGAATCGATGTCTTTCTTTGCAATTAGCTTCCGTTTCTTATCCGTCGCCGTTCTTTGAAAAGTATATTTTGTTTCATCCATATCATCATCATCATCTTTTGTATCAAAAACATCCCATTTGCTGGCATTAAATTCATTTTCTGACACACCTTCATCGCCTTCATCCTTGTCAATGTCAGTATGGGAAGAACTTGGGATTGTGACTTCCTCATATTTTACTTCTGTCTCATTCGTTGCCCTACGCATATTCAATTCTTGCACAATAACACGGCATTCTTGTCCTGATCCAGTTGAAAAAATCTATAATTTAACGTTGAAATACTTTTATAATGGACTTTTTACATGTTTATACCTTTTTAACACTTTGTATTTCCGTACACATTTTGCACGCCCATTTTGGAACTTTCTTTACAATGTGTACCTAAACATAGATTGTATTAAACATATTATTTTTATTTTGAAATAAAATTTTATTACCTGATAGCATTTGCAATTGTAACATTGTAGAACTTGCATTACCTGCGGCATCTTGTAGTCTTCTTCTTTTGTGTATATTTGGTTGCTTATTGTTAATTTAACATATTTTTTTTTATAATTTGTGAGCTCAGTATTATTAATTATTATAGTACATTTTGTACGTATTAATCATAAAGTTTATTTATGTAAATATCATTAATTATGAAGTATGAAACATTGAAATATTTTGTATTTGCAAGTATGAGTTGGTATACATGCAGAGCAAAGCGGCCATTTTGTAAACAACATCGCCAAACTACTGAAAATATATACTGCAGTTGTCGAGGACCAATTTAGATGAAATTTGTGTAGTTTCAAGTGTTCATATAGTGCATTTGTGAAAGAGTTATTAGAGAAACCGAAAAGGTAATATTTTGTCCTACATTTACTTTGATAGTATAAAAGTATCCTAACAAACCATTATGGCTGATGATTTACAAAACTACAAGCTGCAACTGCAACAAGTGGAGGCTGCTCTCCTGACGGACGCTGACAACAAAGAACTGCAGAAACTGAAAGTTGATTTGGAGGAGGTCATCGAGCTCTCACTAGATTTAAAAACAAAGGCTGAAGAGGCTGCAAACCAGCCAGAATACCATGAGCTGCCGATACATCCTTCTGATGAAGATGAAATCACAAAATCCCTATTGGCTGTTGAAGAGTTCGTCGCCAAAAATAAGAAAAAGAAGCTGTGGCGCGTTGGCGACATGTGCAGTGCCAAGTGGAATGATAACAATCAATTTTATGCTGCCCGTATAGATTCAATAAACCCAGATGGACAGGTAAATGTTACATTTGAAACATACAAAAACAGAGGTGTCACCACCTTATCCGAACTAAAAGAATTCACAGGAGAAAAAAGGCAACTCACAGAGGCAGAGAAACTGAAACGTGCCAAAATGAACAACAAAGAATACCTCAAGAAAAAGAAGCAGAAGAAAATCCAGCGTTTCAAGGAAATAGAGGAAGAAAGGGAATGTGAAAAGAATAAGTGGATTGCTTTTACGAGTAAAGCAAGCAAAAGTAAAAAGGCTGGTGTTAAAGCCAAGAGCATTTTTGCATCCCCAGAATCTGTCACAGGCAGAGTTGGAATTGGCACTTGTGGGATTAGTGGAAAACCAATGACTGAATTCTCAACTGCAGAGAAATGGAAGAAAGGACAATAATTACGTTTTTTTTTTGTTATAGAATGTATCTTTGTTTAAAGTAAGAATAATTTAATTAAAGTTGTGTATATAAAGATGTCCTCAAAGCAGTTTTTTTGTAAGACATTACAGTTTTCTGTAATTGTAACTTCCATAGGTTATGGGTACATAACCTATGATCTTGTTTTGACTGTATCAAAAATGTTGCGAAATACCGTTAGATTTTGCTACAAAGCTGTGAAATTAAATAAATTAGTACTAAATAAAATGTAAGTTCAATTATTAACTCCTAAATAACAGGTAATCATTGCATATACGTTTAATTAAAGTGTCCCTCCTGCTCAAAAATGTATCTTGATCCCAAACCAAAGAAGAAACTTCATGACTTCATTGCCAAGATCAATGTTCGTCCAGACCCAAGAGACTCCAAACCCAAATAGTTTAAAATTCTTGCCTGGAGTCCAAGTGCTGGAGCCAGGCCAAACAATGGACTTTCCCACTGGTCAAGATGCATACTGTTCTCCATTGGGAAAACATCTCTTCAGAGTTGAAGGAGTTAAGGCTGTTTTCTTAGGTCCTGACTTTATCACTGTCACAAAAGTGGATGATGAGACTGAATGGAAACTGCTGAAACCTGAAATATTTGCTACCATCATGGATTTCTTTGCTAGTGGCTTACCAGTCTTGAATGAGGGTACCCCAAATGCAGATACCCGTTAGTAGTCATTGCAATTATTCAATCAGTTTAATTTATTACACTGTTTCATTTGTAGAAGTAAATGAAGATGACAGTGAAACTGTTCAAATGATCAAAGAACTCTTGGACACTAGGATTAGACCCACAGTACAAGAGGATGGAGGTACAATCTAAAATTTTGTATTACCATTCATAAAACTTTACGTTTTTTTAGGTGATATTATATTCAAGGGGTATGAAGATGGTATTGTGAAATTGAAGATGCAGGGTTCTTGCTCGAATTGTCCCAGTTCGACGGTGACGCTGAAGAACGGAGTTCAGAACATGATGCAGTTTTATATCCCGGAAGTCTTAGGCGTCGAGCAGATCGAAGATGAGCAAGATTTGGTGGTGAAATCGCAGTTCCGAAAGCTGGAGGATAAATTGAAGCATAAAGAAGCAACACCGAAAAGCGACTGAACTGCGATCTCAATTTGTAAATAATACTAAACTGTTATTTTATTTGTTTCATGTTGTTTTTATTTTGTTATTAATATAAACAGAAATGTGATTCTAATATCAAATTTCTTAGTTTTTATTTTGTTAACATAGTAAATGTTGTCTCAGTATCCAAAGTGTTTGTTGTTTCTGCTGCATATACTTAATATGTTGAATTTAGATGCACTGTGAAATATGACAAGATTTGTGAACTGATTTTAACCAATAAATGGTTCATTTCAAATAATACTCGTGGTTATAATCGTTTTTCTACTACAATAAAGTAGACATATTCAAGATGACATTTGGCGTTAACTGTCTAGCTCCTCCCACTTAAACCACTTTTCAATTAATACCCCGCCCCCCAAGACATGTTTTGTAACAGCCGTTCATTAGGGATAAATCCTAAAGAACAGAAGCAAAACTGAAGAAGTAACAAATTTACTGGAACTTCGGATAATTGGGACAAAATATATCTGTCCAGATTAAGCAGAATCACCTGCATTTACATATTTTTTAAATTCATACAATAAAATATGCAATTTTTTTGCATCGGAATTATTTATGTTATAGTTTTAAATAATATAAACATTTCAGGTAAGTTTTAATTATTATACTCTATAATATATACAAATTATTTTCAGTATTGTTATTTATCTAATATACATTATTTTGTTTACTTTAGTCATGTATTTATTAAAATTAATGATTACATGTAAATGTAGTTAACTTGTATTTATTTAATGTATGTAATTTAGTATATGTACAAAAAGCAATATTTAAGATTAACCAATAATGAGTTAGCTGAAGGAGGTGTGTACATAGGTTTGCCTATAAGCAGATATAGTGGGGGTATTGGACCGCCCCCAAGTCTCCAGCTGTTCATTTAGAAAGGATTGTAGCAGAACAACATCGGCCAGCAAATTAGTAAACCATTGAATTCGGTGCATCGAACAGTCGTCGGGGCGTCCGTTTTCCTTCTGTACGATGATGACCTGTTCATGAGAAGTTCTGTGTTGCAATGTGATGTTTCGTAACCATCAGTGGACAATCCCTACATTGTTTTAGATATGACTGTTAAAACTGTATTCGCATAACAAAAAAGAAATATATAGAAACAACAACAAATTTATGTTAATTGTAAGTTGCTGTTCATCCCACACGACGACATTAGATACATGCACTATTTTTGTTATTGGAACGCACCGGTGAATCATTAATAATAACCCTCCTCATTGATTTCTTCACCTGACATCAAACCTACAATGTTATCTTATCTAATATAGAATTTATACAATTTAGTGCGGTTTCCTCAATAGATTTTTCTTTAAGGATTGTGACGAAAGGGATTTCTTATAAATTATTATTTTGATTAAACGAATAACAATCGCGTTGCCGAGTCCATTAGTCCAGATTTGATTATAATTCAAGAACATGCGTTTATTGCAAATATTTGGAAATTTGTTTGATTTACATCAAAGAAGTCCGCTTTTGTTTGGAAAAACGGCGAAGTTTATTATCTATACGTTTTGTTATTGTTTACACATTGTCAGATCGTGGCACATATTTTTTTGTTATTCGGCGTTTTATTTAAGAACATTTTTTTTTTGAAACTCTGCATGCTCCGCCACCACTTGCGTAAATATATTTATAGTTATCCAAAAATAGTTGATTTCGGCAATAGAGTAGGAAGCTTCGAGCGTTTCATTATTTCAAAACTGCAGAAATAAATAAATAATTGTGAAAAAGGAATCAATAAATCTGCGAGTTTGTTGGTTTTAAATTGACAAAGGTGTTATTGTATTAGAAGGAAATTAAGTAATGCGTTATGTCTGCTTTATTAATGGGTCTTTTATATCGCTGATCTTTAACCCGAACGCATGGAAGAATTAAGTTAAATTTATCTTATTACATTTCGCCTTTTAGTTCAATCAGTTATAATGGAAGTAATTTTACGAGTTTCGTTTAAATTACCAAGTAATTTCACTCCAAAGTTTAATTGAATAAGACAATGATGCTGTTTCGTATATGCTTTAAATATAAATAATATAATTTTAACTTATTCGAATCAATTATTTATGAAATAAGTTTCAAAAGTATTTGGAAAAATGTCAGATTTTGATTTATTAACATTTTTTTAAAGTTAAGAAATTTATTTTCGTTTCTAATATAAACTAGTTTATATGTTAGTTTTTGAATTACTAAATTAAATGTCTTTAAACGTCAAGTAAAATCAGTGACAGACGATTGCTTAACTTTCAATTAATCTGACAGTTAAATTGTGTTTGATTGTATCAATTGTGAAGTAAATGAAAACGAGGCGACGCCAGGTGACGTTTAAAAGTTAATTGATGTTTAACGCACGAGGGATTTCGAGGTCGATGACCAGCAGACAGGGGAAACCTCATAACAAATACAATTAAAATCTGCAAATTTATATATTTTCTTTTTACAAACTTTAGTTATATTTTAATGAATAATATAAAAGATCACTATAATTTTAGGAACTATGCACATACTGAACAATATTACAATTTGAGTATAGAGGAAAATATTTCCGGAATTTCACCTGCTGATGATTCATTGTTTTGTATGATTAAATAAGGTTATCTATATGGTTTATTTAGTGTTTAAATTGTTATTTTATTTATTGTAATAGTAACATTTGATTGGATTCGTAGCTAACTTTGATGTTATTTCAGGTTTCGGAAAATCCCAAACATGGCCAACTTTTTAGTTTGTTCGGCCCTATTCAGGGTCGTCATGCCCTTGATTCTGTTAACGTGTAAGTATAAATCTGTTGTTTTTTTCTTCCATTGTTACTGTTGTCACATCCATCAAATTTACGAAGAACCTGTACCTCATTTGAATGATTAACCAAATACGTTTTGCATAATTAATACGATTTTAGCGTGTTTGTCGCTTATCCTATTAACTAATGATGCGTGTCTGCACGTAAATTAATTCAAAACACGTGTAAAAAAATATTATCATCATTTGTGCGCGCAATTTGGACTCCACCGGACGTACATTATGTTGTGTTTTTTTTTCATCTCTCTTCCTTCTGTTGAATTTATTTCCTGATTCGAATTGTTTTGCCATGATGCAAATATGATTCTATTATAAATTCAAAGAAGGCCACCGAACGTAATCCGTCTGGAATTTAGTTGTAACGAAACGACCAAGGCCTTTTACAACTCTTATTTATTTACTATTTACGGTTGTTATTTATACTCGGAGATAGTAAATCGCGTTCAAAATGTTCGAATTACTTGGATTTAATTGTAATTGCATGTTGCAATTGTAAAGCTAAAAATAAACATGATACACACTAATTTATCAAGAGTATAAAATAACAATTTATAATTTTAAGAAAATCTCAAGCTAAGATGAATTAGAGGATCATTCCAGACTTTCTGAATGAATATGATCATTTGTAAAGTGATAGTTTCTAAAGAAAGAAATGTGAATCATCATTTTCCATATAAAACTTGAAAGGTGTCAATTGTTAAATAAACATGATACACACTAATATATTAAGAGTATAAAAGTTAACAATCTTTATAATTTTAAGAAAATCTAAAGTTAAGATGAATTGGTGGATAGTTCCAGACTTTCTTAATGAATATGATTATTTGTAAAGTGATAATTTTTAAAGAAAGAAATGTGAATCATTATTTTCCATATAAAACTTGAAAGGTGTCAATTGTTAAATAAAGGTGATACACATTAATATATTATGAGTATAAAAGTTAACAATCTTTATAATTTCAAGAAAATCTCAAGCCAAGATGAATTAGTGGATAGATCTAGACATTCTGAATGAATATGATCATTTGTAAAGTGATAGTTTCTAAAAAAAAATATGTGAATCATTATTTTCCGTATAAAACTTGAAAGGTGTCAATTGTTAAATAAACATGATACACATTAATATATTAAGAGTATAAAACTTAACACTCTTTATGATTATAAAAAAAATCGTTAAGTTAAGACGAATTAGAGGATAGTTCCAGACTTTCTGAATGAATATGATCATCTAAAAAGTGATAATTTCTAAAGAAAGAAATGTGAATCATTATTTTCCGTATAAAACTTGAATTGTGTCAATTGTTAAATAAACAAGATACACACTAATATATTAAGAGTGTAAAAGTTAACAATTTTTATAATTTTAAGAAAATCTCAAGTTAAGATGAATTAGTGGATAATTCCAGACTTTCTGAATGAATATGATCATTTGTAAAGTGATAATTTCTAAAGAAAGAAATGTGAATCATTATTTTCCATATGAAACTTGAAAGGTGTAAATTTTTAATTCTAACAATTTTGTTTTCTTCCTCTTAATATTTCCAGTTAACAAAATTGGTAACTTTGATTATTCAATTTTTGTATTATGTTTTTAATTAATTTAAATGTTACGTCTATCTATTTTAGAATAAAGAAAAAAAACTTAGGAATTTATGTTGAAATATCTGGAACATCTTCATTTAAGAGTTGTCAAAAAAGTGAATTACATTGATATTGAATTCCTATTTGTCATTGAGTATAACATTACAATAACTATTCTATCGACTAATCTCACAGTTTTAATTTAATTGATTAAAAATAGTAATATTTATATCAAATGTGTAACACTTTCATTTTTTTATCGTTCTACTATAATATTATTTAACTTTATACTTATACTTGACAAGCTGTCAAAAATGAAATCCATCATCTAAACGCGATGCTTAACTTTTTCGTAAGCTGTCAAACGTCAAGAATCCAATTGTGTCAACCACCATTTATTTTGTAACCTTCAGAGTAATGAAAATACGAAATTTACTTTATTTAATCAATACTTTTTAAGTGTATAAGTTGTTTTTACTATCAACTGTTAAAGTTCGAAATTGAGCGTTTTGGAACTAGTCCATGCATTGTAATTCGAAAACAAATTGCTCTTGGCTAGACTTCCTTTTCATATTCAAACCAGATTCTTCTAATAATATCAGTTAAAGTGAACGTTTTCATAAAGTCAGATACATTTTTCACTTATAACGATTTTTCTTTCAAATATATTTTGCTAAATTTGTTGGAACATTAAGGTTTTAATTTTTGGTACAAAAGGAAGGAAACTTTTGTTAGTCGCAGAACGTGCAATAAACATATTACAAATACTTATTGATAGCCGTTATCGTCGTTCCAAATGGACGAAACATGAATATTTCCATACGTTCAATGCTGCAGACGTAGAATAATACAGAAAAGTTCTTATCACGAAGTCGTCTGCAAGAAACTTCCTGAAAAACAGTTATCTTTGCTCGTTGCTTAAAGTGATTCAACATTGAGTCACAGTTTATGCATTAAATGTAATAGAACAAAGTACAAATTCGTGGAAATGAATGGTTTGGAAAGTATTATTAAATGAAAAGGAGGAATGGCAGGAAGGTGAGACTGTGCTTGATTGTGAAGAACGTAATAGGGTCAGGGCCGGTTCAGCCCATGTTGGGCACACCTCGCATCATCCCCATCATTCGTGATTAACGAATTAGCACTAATCTTTCGTGACAATTGAATTCTACTCTGTACATAATGATTGTTCATATTTATAAATAAGTTTGTTTTCACTCATTGTATATAAACTTAATGACAACAAAAACATACAAATATCAATCGAATCTTAAAATTTGGATTGTTTACTAATGTTACATGATGAATCCAAGTGTTTCGGGATGTACCTCAAGGTATGATACTTGAACCAATTTTTAAGTTTATTTGTTTTTTTTTTTAATTTAAAACTATTCTACAAACCTATTATTGTTAATCGTTTTTCCAAATTGATCAAAGAAAATTGGACACTTTGATTCGTTGACAAAATAAGTTTATTTTTCTTAAAGAAAAATAGCGAACAAAATAGTACCGTTTTTCAAATTTATAAAATTGGAAAGAATAGTAAAAATTAACTTTGATTGGTTGACAAAATTGTTGCAAAATAAAATAATTTAAATATAATCCACTTAAAAAACATAAATCAGTGTTTCTTAAAGAAAATTAGTTAAACAAACGAAAACATTAGTGAAAATTGAACACTTGATTGGTGAACAAATTAATATTTTTTAATAATTTTTCAACTTTTTAAGAAATATAAACCAGTATTTCTTAAAGAAAAATAGTTAACAAAATTGATCCATTTTCACTTAGTTTGGCAAATGAAAAGAATAGTGAAAATTGAATACTTTGGTTGACAAAATTGTTACAAAATAAAATAATTTATATTTTATCCACTTAAAAAACATAAATCAGTGTTTCTTAAAGAAAATTAGTTAAATAAACGAAAACATTAGTGAAAATTGAACACTTGATTGGTGAACAAATTAATATTTTTTAATAATTTTTCAACTTTTTAAGAAATATAAACCAGTATTTCTTAAAGAAAAATAGTTAACAAAATTGATCCATTTTCACTTAGTTTGGCAAATGAAATGAATAGTGAAAATTGAATACTTTGGTTGACAAAATTGTTAGAAAATAAAATAATTTATATTTTATCCACTTAAAAAACATAAATCAGTGTTTCTTAAAGAAAATTAGTTAAACAAACGAAAACATTAGTGAACATTGAATTGGTGGACAAAATAGGTGACATATTAATATTTTTTAATCATTTTTCAACTTTTTAAGAAATATAAACCAGTATTTCTTAAAGAAAAACAGTTAACAAAATTGATCCATTTTCACTTAGTTCTACAAATGAAAAGAATAGTGAAAATTGAATACTTCCACTTTTTAAGAAACATAAATCAGTGGAAAAAATATATCTTCAAAACATTTAAGTGGATTTTACAACATTTGAAATGACATCGACATGATAATTATAAAAACTTGTATGAAAATAAAAGCGACCACGTTAACAAAATGCGGTTTCCACGAAGATTAGTGCGTGCGTGTATTTTGGGTCGATGATTTTACTCGTATTTCTACGTAAATTTCAGAAATGCATAAAAAAACACACGACGCGTTAGTTAATTTACGTTTTCGAAGGCATGCAAATTACTCAGTTACAATGATAACTATATTTTTTCCAATTCTCTATAAATAAACATGATGCAACCGGTCAATGTCTTGATAACAAGTTTCATCGCTATTTATAAAAACGGTCTCGTTCCGTTTAAATAAACTAAAACGAAACTATATTAAGCAATGACTTATCGCAAAAAATCTGCATACGTTCATTCACAACCATTTTTTCGCCGCGGTTTAATAATTGTCGATTTCATCAAAGAGAGAACGTGAAACGAAATTCGTGTATTTCTCCATGTGAAAAGCAGGAAAAGGTCACAAGGTCAATGATAAAAAAAACAGTCATAATATACGCGAGGAGACGACATTCTCAGTGGAAATAAAAATAAATTAAGTGTTGTAAATTTTTGGGAGGTTTCCGTTCCAAAAGGCCAAGCTCATGGCCTTTTTCCGTCTTCTAAAACCAGAATAGCGTAAAGCACATTTTCGTTGATTTTTATTTTTTTTTTTGTATATTGGCGGTGGTGATTTTATTTTTGTTGCGGTGCGTCCACACCCTCCAGCCTTTGTGCACGCACGGGGTTGAAAATGCGCTGCGGTCCCTCAAATGCCACGCGAAAAGGCCCAAAAACTCGGTCAACAGGAAAACTGGGTCGTGGCCTAATTAATTGTGACTCGCCCGAAGAGGAAGGAGAGCGAAAGTTGATATGCACGAGACTTCTATTGGGATCACGCATTAAGAAGAGTCTTTGGTGTCTTCGAACCATTAAAAGCAACATTTTC